GCAAAGACGACAATCATTAGTCGCTCAATGGCAACGAAATCCAAACGATCGCGTTCCGTATTGAGACGTACACACGTGCAACCCGAGAGCGACAGCCAAAACCCAGCGCCGTGATTTCGTTTAATGACAATTAACGAGAAGTCGCGGCGATAGATACCGATCCATCGGCGCGCCACGGCCGCGGAGTATTTAAATTCGAGTTTAAATTACCGTGCCATGCATCAACGAGGACTACCCGCAGATACCAGTGATCCCTTCGGACCTGCACGTGTAGACGCGAGGAGGCTTCCCCGGAACAATCAGCCGATTCTACGATCGAATTTCGCCCTTGCGACCAGAGGTAAGAACAACAACAAAAAAAAAGAAAGAAAGAATGAGCCTTCTTCCGAGAAGGGTCGGGGTAAGGAAGAAGAAAGATAGGAAAAAAAGGGTAAATAAATAATATAAGAAGAAGAAGAGGGAGGGTGGCGAGAGAGTTAACCAACAAGCAAATTAACACGTGGGAGGGTCCGATCGGCAAATGAGATAATTGCGCGGAACACAACGACGATGAGGAGGGAGGGACCGCAGCTCTCTGTCTCGATGAGGCCCACACGTTTGTGTGTACACGAGGAGGACGAGAGAGGCGGGCGATCGATCGATCGATCGGGCCCAGCTCGGCAAACGAGAGAGAGAGAGAGGCCCCGGTGACTTTCCAGCTTCTCGGTTTTCTCATTCTTCTCGTCCTCGACGCTCTCGTGTGTTTTGTATGTATACCTCGGTACATACGGGATCTCTTATGAGATTCGCTCATATCTCACGTGCACGGGTATGCGTGTGTGTGTGTGTGTGTGTGTGTGCAGAGAGTATTTTAACAAGTCATCTCTCGGGGCCCCTGGATACAAGTGTTTCGTTTCGGAACGATCAGATTAAAGCGCTTGTGTCGAGGTATCGAGGTGTATGTGTACCCATCCGAGTTTTTCGAATGCAATTTATGCGATCGGCCCCGGATCGTGGACTCGGGGAGGGAAAACCGTATGGGATATTTGCTCGTTCGCAATCGTCCCATCTTTTTTTTTCCCTCTCTTTTTTCTCTTTCGCTTATTATATTTATTTTGTTCCAATCGATCTTCCCAAACACGTACCCCTTGCTACGTGGGTTAGTACATGTGTGTGTGTGTGCGGGGTTACAACACACACGTGGCCAAACTTTCGATGGTCTGCGTATTGGATTCATGCTCGCGTTACCGATATGGGGTACAAAATGATAAAGTATGAGCAAAAGCACGGTTTTACTTTTAAAGTGTGGAAAGCCACTCTGATGAGTAATTACCTATCGTCATCGGTTCGGAGCGCGAGCGTGCCTGACACGATATGTACAGACCAGCTTCTGAGTGACGAAATATACTGTCAGTGAATCGAGTTGACAAAATAGTTGCTCCCAAATCGATTTTATACAAACCTTGCATTCGTTTGGTTTTTTTCACTCGAAAGTGTATTGTCAGGAAGAACAACATTTTACGCCTGTACTTCATTGGGTTTGCAGCAACTACAATTTATGCATATAATACCTTTAGCTCGATAACTGTTTGGTATATATAAACATTGGATGTCGTTGAAAATTAATCAGTGGAGTCTAAAATGCGTAAGATAAGCACTTTGGATGAAAAGAAGCGGTATGGAGTGTACGTTTTAATCTCTCGAGTGGGCGATAAGATTCATTATCGCGCAAGACAACTCGAGATTATTTCAGAGTCGGGTCTATGAAATAGTATCTCCTCTCTCTCTCTCTCTCTCTCTCTCTCTCTCTCTCTCTCTCTCTCTCTGTTTGTTTTGCCATCTTGATCGTATACTTCGAGGGCGAGAGTAAATCGTGTACAGTTACCCTCGGGGTCTAAAAATTTTCCGTTCCCCATCACCGAATTTTCGCAATCCTTATACGTGTGACCACTCACTTGTACCCGCAACGGAAATCCATTCCGAGCGATGCTTCATAAGATAAGACACGAGTGCGACCGCGAATCATTCAGAAGGCAACAAAAAATTCATCAAACGTGATACGAGCAAATCTCCTCTCGCGTGTAAACGAAAAAACCGAGATAGCGCACGTGTGCTCTCGAGTTGGGGGAAGAAACCTCCTTTGGTCTTTAGCTGTCGTGACTCGAGAGTAGCGAGGAAAATGCGCCTAACCGAGCCTATATACGTATATATATACATAAGCCATAACGAACGATCGACAAAAACGTGGAGGCCTCCGTTGGCGCGTACACCACGTGGCATCTGCAGCGGGAACCGATTGACGTTGACACGCGAGAGTGGCAGCCAGCAACCTCGAACTTAACGACGAGTCCGATAGCCAGAAATTCGCGGTTAGGTACGTGGTGTGCTTGTACATCAGTGGGGCGAATCTAGCGCGTGCATAATGCGAGTCTCCGTAGCCTCGTACCGTTTGTCCTCTTTCATACAGTATGGGGATAATATGTCTGCTTACACACGCTTCGTGCATACTTTTTCTGCACCATCCGAATTCGATTTTTGGCCCAAGAAACGCAGTAGTTATATTAATAATGAATCGTAAGAGAGAAAGAGATGTAAACCACATAGATATACTTGGGAGTGTGGACGTGGTTGATGGATAACGGGACACTAGGTGATCAATGGGAATTTTTTTGTCACATCTGTGTAAATAATATGTTCGTGTTTTTTAAATTATCTCTTCATTGGTGACATTGTCAAGAAAGACAAGTGATGCAGATGTTATTTTTTGTCATCTTGTGACTCGATCCGTCATCTTGATCGGTTTACCAGAGCTATGCATGAAATAAAGCTTGCGTAGATGTTGGTAAAATATAAAAAAGAAAACGAGATGAAATGTCAAACGGAGAAATATAAAATCAGAACCCATATTGATACATAATATTGTGGATAATAACGATAACATACAATGAAGATTTTCCAGTTACCTAGTGATTAGTATGGCAAGTCACGTATACGTACGCCTCGTTCTAGAAAATCTTTATGCTTGACGGATGTTTTTTTATGCAGTCAAGTATATACTTCAGTTGAGAAAATTTTCAGGATGTCTAAATACTGCGCGTGTATTGAAAATATTCTCATCCATGATGTCTTATTTGTCGTCGGTGCCATTCAAAAAAATTCCATAAGAACGCCCATCAAATACGACGAACCAACTTTTTCTCTCGCAAAACTCTGGGATAAGTCAACCAAAACCTTCGAACCGATCACTCGTCTCATCCGGAAGTTGATAGCCAAAAAACATCCCAAAGCGCATCAAGTCCCCCTCCCCGCCTTATCTCACCACATCTGCGGGTTACAACGCCTGCACCAGCCAGCGAGGAACAACCCGCATCTTAGATTATACCGATCCGAAAAGTCCTTATCACCATTCGGACATCTCATTAGAAACTCTCGCCGAGCAAAAATATATGTATAGTTGTTTCAAACATGCCCGGGTAACGACGTAAGCATCTTCCGGACGTGTATACCCTGGGCTCGCTTTCTCTCCGTTCCGTCAAACGATACGGACCAAGAAAAATATCGCTGATCAACGTCGGGGCCGCGTCGTCCCAGTGTATTACCGTACACGGCGTCCCGAGCACGTGCGCCAAGTACGTGTAATTTAAGAGAGCCGTACACGTGGCCGGTGATTGGGATGATGGCGAGTGCACTGGTGTATACGTATCTTCCGTAAAAGCAGGAGAAAGGAGGAGGAGGTGATGCGCGGGTATCGGGGATCTATAGCCAACAACAATTAGCCGAGAGGGGTCAAGGTTCGGAGCCGGATCGGCCGAAGGGATGATGATGATAGGGAGTCGGGCGAACGAGCGGGGCATACACGGCGTGCCTCCTCTCGTTTTTTTTGTTTTTCCTTTTTTTCGCAGATAGCCCATCCGAGAGTAAACAAATCATAAGGGCCGCGGGAACGACGAGGCCGAGATAAGAGGGAGAGAGGAGCGAGCGAGGCGAGGGAGAAGACGAATCTCGGCGCTGCATCGGCGCGGGATATGTGTACCTTATAAACTCTCGTTGCGCGTGCACGTGTGTCGGTATACGTATGGGGAGGGAGAAGGACCTCATGACCAGAGGGCCATCTTCTCTCCTGCACGGGCTGTGCTGTATGGGATTTTTTGTTTTTTTATTTTTCGTTTTGTTTTTTCATACGTGTATTTGTGCGCGTTTACGGGGTTAGAGAGAGAGAGAGTACCAGCGAGCAAGTGTATCGCGCGAGAATCTCGATTTCACGAGCCTCCCACGCGATGCGTGGATCCGGGCCTCCTGAAAAGCTTTACCTGTATGTTTGCCGTTCCATCGCGCATCGTTTCTCTCTAGCCCACGAGATATCTGTGTATGCTGTTGACTGTTGCAAGGGAATTTTTGTCGATGGATCATATAAGTTTTTTGCCAAGGACGAGTGAATTTTTACGAAAAGTGCGGGTGTGAAAAACTTTATCTCTGGGTCCGAGATATTGCTCGAATCGTGTACCTGATTGATTTTGCTCGATCTTCGTCCAGAATATGTAGAGGCCAAATAGTTGTCACGTAATGTAAAATAATACACGTGTTTGAGCAGCGTTGCGTGTATAGGTACTCTTTGGGGGTTGTGTGCGTGCACGTAGCCATAATTTTTTTTTTTAAGTTAAATTCTAGAACTCATGATTCTCGTGAACTATATCAATATGAGGATTAACGAAGATCCTACGGACACTATTCTAATAACAATACTGATTTAATTTAAAAAAATATAGTTCGCTGAAAATTGCAGTTCAAAGAGCACCTTACAAAGTAGAGAACTCCAAAGAGCCACAGGAGTTAGTCTTTATGGTGGGTATAAATAAATTATCATTTTTTGTAGATAATACATAGATACTTGTAATATACAAAATCACGTTTTCAATATTTTTTATCAAATAATCTTACACGTAAAGTTACTGAAATGTAAAAACACCTGCACTATTTTTATTATTCTTAAAAAGTCAACACAAAGTTCTCACGCATGTTCGTCAGGAGGGCATCAGTACTTTGCAACGTATGGTTGCGTCTAGTTGGTCGTTCATGACTTTTTCAATGAAATCCTTGTGACTAGCGATTTTTGTGAACACCGTCGTCGGGTTATCGCATCGTGAGGATCCTCTTGAGACTATCCCAATGAGAATGTCTTTCCTGATCACCAAGGGCCCGCCGCTGTCCCCCTGAGAAAGATTATTCTTATTTTAAATGAATAAACAACTATGGCGGATTTTTTCACGATTAAAGAGTAATATTAATACACCAACACTGCAAGTGCTCCCACTGCGGTTCAAATGATTTCGTTTTAGTTCCGCACAAACGTGTTCCTGAGAATTGTCCAGCCACTGGAATATTGTTATACTCGAGCAGTTCTGATTGCCAACGATGGTAGCTTCCACGTGCCGCAACCTACCGTCAAATTTCAACTCTTCGTCCTCTTCGTCCTCCTCGTTTTTAAACCCATCCGAGCCAAAACCACTGACAACCAGTGTCTCTTTGTCCAGGTATGGCTCGTCGCTGTCATCTGGCAATCGGAGCTTACTTACGTGCTCGTTGCAATGTATATCCAACGGTTCCCTCAGCTGAAAACATCATCCATTGGTTGTATGAATTTGACAAATAATCACAGCACATGCATATTAGTATACTCATCAGCACAAATTAATTACGATTTAACCTTCAGCACAGCAATATCCTTGACGCTCGAGTTGATCAATCTGCTAATCTGCATGCTGTCTTCCCTGAATGTCTTGTAAACGTAAATTTTCGCGACGTCGATTTCGACTCTGTGGACGTCATCCCGATCCATTGCATCCGTCGTTCCGGCCACCACTTTGATTCTCGAGGATACGAGACTTCCTTCGTTTTCGTCGTACAAGCAGTGGCCAGCTGTGATAACGAATTGGTCTCCGACGATCGCGCCGCTGCAGATGTTGTAGCTACCGATTTTTATAAAAACGGTGTAGGTATGGCTTTTGGGTGTACTTATGCTGCCGGCAACGATTCCTTCGTAATTCAAGGTTTGAGCTGGAAATGATTAAACTTGCTTTACTAAACTTACACGCGTAAATTTTTTCGTTAAAATAGTCTTTTATGTTTTTATACGTTTATGCTCTGTTCACATATGCTGATTTGTCGAGACGTTGTCCGTGTGTCGTATCTTCGTCATTTTTTTATATAAAGGAAAAATTGTATAGAACGAGTAAAAGAAATTTGTTATTAGGAATAAGCACTAGGGTATGAAAAAGCCAAGATTAGTTGAATTAATTAATTTTGTCGCAAAGAGAATCATGCAGTTAGTTATAGGGAACACAGATTTTGTATTGTTTGGAGAAAATGTAAGTATTTTAACAAAAAAAAACTTATTGGTCCGACCCAGCAAAATAAATAAAACTTTGATTATTTTATTGATCTTTGATTAAGCAAGGACTTCTTCTTTTTTTTAACATAGAAGCTCAGTTACTACCGTTACTGATTCAGAAAAATGCCAAAGTAGAATTGTAAAATTGGCCTTGTTTCGTTTTTACGACGATTTTCAAAGGTAACGCTTATTTTCTTTGTACTGCGACTCGCGTTGTATTTTGTCTTTTTTTTTCACTTGACTGCGCCACAAGTTCCAAAAATTAAATTTTTGAGCTTACAAAAGTTAGAAAAAAATTGCTAATAACTTGCGAAAATCGTTAATTGATAAATTTATGGTTACTGGTGTTTCCCCATTGATTGTTATAACCATCACTGTTTATAAAGATTAATGAGCGATTACTGATATTTATCAGTGTTCGAAACAAATGATTTGAATGTTGCCAGTTGGGAAAGATTTAGTCTTAATAAATCAAAAAATTGAGAAAGAACACTAAATTGTTACATACGTCGAAAAATATAAAAACAAAATAAGTATCTCTTACTGCTTCTTATCAGACAAGAAGTTAGTACGCAGCTCCAGAGAAGACACGATTCAATAAAGAAATACATTTTTCTGATTGTAACGTTTTGACGATTAAAAACAATAATTTCTGTAGCTTAACTCTGACAATGACTAAATTTCAGTATGTTTCACTCACGAGAATTTATTTTATTTTATACCTGTTTCAAATGATAAAAAATATAATTATAGGATACATTATTTGATTTTTTATTAACCTTTAAAAGTAAAAAACGCTTCATTAAATTTGGTTTACTTAAAAGAAATTTAATTTACTCGTGTATAGAAAAGGTGTACATTTTTTTTATCAGCTGCAATTAAAAATTAAGATATTCGTATACGAGATATTATGTAAAGTGTTTGAATAATCATTATTCACAATATCAATGATTAAAAAATTTGAGGATGAAATTTTAACTTTGTTTCTTATCAAATAACATTTGTATGGATTAATCATTTGATTGTAGAAAAGCACAAATTGATTGTTTTATGTGTATAGTGGCAAATATTAAATATAAATGAAAAAATTTAACAAATATAACAAATAGTAATCTGTTAATTGCTATGACTTAATTTTCAACCTATTGATACAATGTCAATATTTGATTCAAAAAGACACAACCGAATGATGAATATCATCTTGTATTTAAATTTCAAAAATGCCCACTTGGTCTGTTTTGACATAAATTTTATCTGAACTTAGATATTCATAAAAAATAAATCATTCCACCTACCTCATATTTCGTAAGATGGGACACCACACTCGTACATTAGTAAGAGGAAAAGATATATTTACAAGGTCTGTCAAAATAACATGTTACAATGTAAACGGAGAATGGAAAATAATCGTTTGTTGAACGTAATTTTTATCAACTCTACATTGGTACATCCTTATCTCCGATTCTCGTTGAAACAAAAAAAAACCTGCGATGTACACACGACACGTGCTCGTACTCGTACACCTATCTAAATGATCCACGTAGTAGTCAATAAATCGGTTTCCATTTCCATCCAAGAGTTGCCGGAGAAAAAGCCACAGCAGCTGCTGCAGCGGTGAAATATATCAGCAGGGGCATAATGTAGGTAGGGCAAAGGACGAAAAAGCGGAAAGGAGGAAGGGAAGTATAAGTATATAATGTTCGATTAACACGTCGTCGTTGCCGTTGTTTGGATAGAGCAACGTGTATAATAACAGGTTGGCCCCACACACATATATATGTATGTATGTACGTTGCCGTCTCTGTATCTGCAGGAGGGCATCTCTCGTTCCCATCCTCGTCCTCCCGATGGCTGCTCGCGTTGCAACGGCAGGTCGAACCCTCGCGCTTTATCGGAATCTCGGAGATGTGCTGTGCGTATATATATTATGTACATATATATCAGGATAAAAATACGGAATTGGCGTGTATATACACAACACGCGAGAGCGCCGTGAAATATTAATTTAGCTCAGGGCGCGAGTGTACGTACGTATGCGCGCCTCCTTCATTGGACGTAAATCGATTGATACGTATACATATTGTGTACTCGTATAAACTGGAAGTTTGAGCGTTTACGTCGAGCGGTCGCGATGAGCTTTTTTTTCCTCCCTCTTTTGTGTTGGCAAGTGATGCCCTTGCCATGTTCGATCCGATCGAGCGATACATTTTTGCGTGGGGCCTGTTAAAAGGGGGGGGGGGACAGCCCGCAGAGCCGAGGATGATCAATGGAGCGCCTCCTCCGGTGATTTTGACGAGCGATTGGGGGAGCCATAACCGAACGAGCCGCGAAAACTCGGTTTATTCCTTTATCTTGCGCTCTCTGACCCGCGAGAGGGCCCTCGCCAATTAATTGCTTACTTTTTAAGCGCTCGTTTCCTCGTTACGGTGCTCTTTCTCTTCTTGGATCTCTTTTTTTCTTTTCTTTTTCATATCGGGATATCAATCGCCAACATCCACATGTTTACTTTAAAAAATTATTTTTTTTTATACATTGCTGCTTTCTTTTTTGCTTTTTCTTTATTTTGTATTTAATTGAAAGTAGATTTTTTTCTGTTCCCGCAGTCATTTAATTTTGACGTTCGACAAGAACATTATAATGAACGATACACTTTTTTTATTATTACAGTGGGTTAACCAACATTTGGGATATTTGTACTGACTTTATTCAACTGGATTTTTACACATTGTCGTTTACTCGTAGAACATAAACGTTATACATTACAAAATGTTTTTACTTTTCGCAGTATACAGTCGCAGATACTTATACAATAAGTAATGAAGTCGCAAATATCGTGTGCTTTTTACATACTGAGGATGTACCATCACTTACTTAACAATAGCAGCCAAGTCACACAAGTTGCAAACTTACGAGGACCGATTATGCGAGTCATAGAGTACACAATTTTATCGTAACAATTGGCAAACAAATGACGAATATAGCTACTTATACTCCACAGTTCTCTCATCAAAACAGTACCGTTATCTTTCATTTTCTAATATAAACGTCCCTCCATGTACTTAGCCTCCATCAAATGCCACAATCTCGTACACGACTAATACTGCCGGCAACACCACCCATACATACGCTCTTTCAACGCAACGAGTTATCGAAAAAATAAAGGGTCAGGTGGAAGAAAAAGGAGAAGGAAATTCATCGCAATCGGGAAAACTGGCTGGCAAGTGGCCGATACCTGCTAGGTGGTACAGCCTCAACCACGCGTACGTATATATACCAAAGGCGCGAGAGGAGACCCGAGCCCGCGTGTGCGCTTTGCGATAAGCTCGAGCAAGCTCTCCTCCTCCTTATTCCTAGGATGCCTCCTCGTTCTTCCTCGGCCCTCATCCCTTCCCGTCTCTGCCCGTGTATCGCGAGCTCGACTTTCTTTCCCCTTTTTTCCCCTCTGCTCGGAGAGATAAGAATTTCCATATTTCCATTACTTTCTTCTTTTCCTCCTCCTCCTCCTCCCCGGCGAACTTCAGTGCGGGCGAGAGAAGATTTCGCCGGGCAGATACGATAACCGGTGGCCTTCCTATCCATCTCTCTCGCCCGATTCACAAGCCCGAGTATACACCAACATCCAAGTATGGACAAAACCGACGTATGCGCGCGGGATCGCGGCGACCGATCGTGAGTTTGTCGCCGCCGATTTCGCTCCTTACCCCCCCGCTTCACCTCGCGCGTATGTCCTTCGCGGGAGACGTTGATTTATGCCCGCCGTGATCGACAGTATGTACATGCATGGGATGTACACAGTACGCGCGCATTTTTGCCTCGATTTCAATTTTTCTTCTCCTCCCGCAGGAGCTCCCCCTCTGTAACAGAACCTTGAATGCATGCGAGTCTTACGTTTGTGGGTTTCTTGTTCCCAAGTCGCTGATTTATTAATCGAGTCTACAGTTGTATATTGGTCGCGATTTCATACGTTCGCGTTTCCACATTGTACACGTTTATTAAGAGAAGCGCGAGCGAAGCAGGTGATTCTCCTCACACATATGAGAGTGCACTGAGAGAAATAAAAATAATAAACATTAGTGTGGTGTCTACAGGGTCTTTTTACTTTTGCCAACCTAATTTTTATCATTATGGTAATTTATATGATACAAATAGTATAAAAATAACTGTGCTTACGACAAAAATTATTGTACAAATAGTAAAAGTTACCATGCTAGTACGGTCATTTTTACCATTTTTTTCTCTCAGTGTAAACGTTTTTGAAAATCGTGGACAAGTATCGGTCTGTCTTACGATACCATCTCTCTTGAATATCAAGATTTCTAAATATAGTCTTGTCTCGATCTAGAAATGGTTCCACAATTTGAGTCTTACTGTCTAGGTCTTGAAGATTTCTCAACTTAACGATTCTTGTCTATATACTGTCTTGGTTTTTTCTCGAACAATTTCGACTTGTGCCATTTTTTTTCAAATTTATTTACCAAAAAATGTGGTCAATATTACCAAAATACAGCCGATGAATAAAGTAATCAAAGAAATGGAAATTACGTGACTGATAGCTATAGTATATACATTGACAATATGTAAAAAAAACTATAAAACCTGTGATGTGATTGCTACATTTCATAAAGACTGACGTAGGTACGTGGTACTGATTTTACTTAACCAACGC